TGCCCAGGCGGGTCTCGAACCCGCGGGCTCAGGCAATTCACTCACCTCAGCCTCCCAAGCCGTGGGATTACAGGCTGAGCCACCGAGCCCGGCTTGGGCTGAGTTTTATTTGGAGCTAGGGACACACCAAAAGTTAGCCAGGAGTGACAAGAGCATACTTTCCATCTGGAGAGACTCTCTCACAGCTGGTTGAGGGTGAATGGTGGGCAGCGGTCAGCAGGGTGGCCCCTGTCCTGATTGCCCTGCATAGGGCTCTTCAGTAGCTGGCCCAGGTTCACCAGTCATGGCAAATCTTTCGAAAGTCACTGGGCTACAGGTTTCCTTTTGGGTCCGGAACCCTTTTGAGAATGAGCTGGAGTCCAGCAGAGGGGCCTGCCCGGGCCCAGACCCTAGGCCCGCCACACCGCAGCCTCTCTGCACAGTGTGCATCAGGGATGGGAACACTCACAGGGCTCCTGTCTAGCTATACCATGCGGTCACACCTGCATGTGTAGGGTCCAGCTAAAGAACTGCGGGAGGATGGGCCAGCTCTCTCAGCACCTGTGGGCCCAGTCTGGGGTCTAGTTAAGTGACAGGATCTACATGTTAAGAACTAACAGCAGTGATAAAGGCCTTGTTCATGGAATCCATGTCCACATGAACATCAGATTATTTACATTCAAATCTCAAGTTCTAAGTTTGGTTAAAAATAAAAATGTTCACGACGAGGAAGGTGAGAAAGCAACCTGGTCAGGGACCAGCAAGAGCTGTACCAGCTCTGGACACATGGCTGCCTCATGGGGAGGGAGACTGGTGCTGGGTGGGGTAGGGACAAGTCAAGGCCTGCCCACAGGAGCAGGTGGGAAGGTTGGTCTGCCTCTTCCATCCCCCAGAGGTCAGTGGTGAGTGAACTGTGGGTGCAGGTGGGCATAGATGCTGTCAAAGCAGGTGTCATGTGGGAGGTACAGACAAGGGGACCAGGTCATACATCCTCTCACAGACCCCCCTCCACCCCAGAGATATGCTGCCCAGGGGCTACCTAGGCCTGCAGATGCTCATCTTCGCCACACTAGTAAGGCCCCAGGTCAAGGACTGTTGCTGCTTCCGGAAGGTAGTGAGAAAAGCGGCACAGTACCAACTGACCATTTATTTAAGGGAAAAAAAAAAATCTCTTAGAAGAGAGGCCAAGCCACCCAATAATGTGTAGTATGTTCCAATGAGGATGCCCGGTTGGATACCAGCACTAAGACCTCTTCCTCAGGGCCTGGTATCCCCCATGCTGTTCCATGTGGCCACCTCTAGGCAGATCCTGGTGGCAGGCTGCTGAGGACTTGGGTAAGATTCTGGGCCCAACTCTGCACAGACAGTTGCCTGCAGGGTCCACTGGCCTGAGCAGAAGCGTAACAGCATTCCTCCTGGCTGTAGCCTAGTCCCCAGGGTTCCAAGCAGGCATAAGGCTCCTGGGCCCACTTGGCCTCTCCTCTTGGCTCTAGATAGCCCAGCAAGACTCAGGATAGAGTCCTGGGCCCTCCCAAGAGGTGTTGAGGCAACCGAGCATATTACTACTTAACCCCAGCACCATCCCCACCACTCACCCGAAGTCTGCCCCAGCTCCTGGGCTAGCCTCTAGCCACAGGCCCCATTCCCCTGAGGCTTCCAGACCCCAACACAGGCTCTGTTGACTCCACAAACTGTGGAGGAGGCAGTGGTGACCCTGCCTTCCTTTGGCTCCCTCTGGGCCTCCTGGAGGGCCTGCAAACTCTGCGGAGAGGTAGGGGTCACTGCTCCTTCAGTCCTGTCGGCTCAGTTCTGAGTTAGAATGGTGAACACCAAAATATCCTGGAGTATACTAGCCCAGTGAAGGAACAAGTCCGCATCCACCCATAGACCCTCATCAGCTGTTCAAGGGATGCTCTCCAGGCAGAGTCCAGGGGGCTGGCCTGGCTCAACCAATACCTAGAACAAGTCATCTGTTCATAACAGGATGGTCACCATGCTCCAGAGCCTTATCCACCATCTAGGCCCTCTCAGTCTCCTGAGCGAGACCCTAACTCCACACACGGGCCTGGCCATATACCTCCAGTGGAAAGCATGGGTCAGGCAGGCCAAAGTTCTCTACTTGACATGCCAGGGCCAGGCCCTCAAGAGCCCAGGTGCCTCCAGAAGCAGCTCCTATAGCGCCAGGCTAGGCTGCCTTCCCACCACCAGTCAGGAAGACCCCCTGGTGAAGAGTAGGGGAGGGAAAGGGGATTGCTAAAGGGGATCTTAGGCTCACACTACCCCTCTCTGGGCTTTAGTTTCCTCATGTGCACAAGGTAATGAGTACAGGGACCAGTTTCATCCTACACCAATGAGGTGGGATGGGACAGGGTATCTGGCAGCACTGTTTTATATCTAGCACCTAGCAGGTACAGAGCAAACACCACGTCACCCACGGCAGATGTTGATACATGCGTGTGGCCCGAAATGGTCTTTTGTACCTGTACCCCCAGAACAGTATCCAGCCCTCCCCTCTGCCTGGCTATAACAGCTCACATGCACCCAGTCTGTGCAGACCTGGGATCTCCATCTGAGCTGGCTTCTCCCCCTGGGTTAAGGGGAAGCTGGATGCACTGACCAGGCTCAAGAAGGAGCCTTGCTCCCCAAGCCCTGGGCCACAAGCAGGTCTTAGGAAATGGGCCTCCACAACTTCCTGGTGGTCACAAATTGGCTATGGTCAGCTCCCCTTTTCAAGCCTGGACTACATGGTCCTTTCAAACCCTAGGGACCTTTCCCACTAGAGGATGGCATGGCATCCAGGCCCGTGGGAGCAGCAGTGCCCCACCCCCCACACCTAGGGGTCAGGGATCCATCAGCCCTTGACAGCAGCCATCAGAGCCAAAATGCAGCCAAGGGGCTTCCCTGTGGCACGAGCCCCAAAGTACCACTCAGTCAGCTGAAGGTCCCCCTTCCTTGACCTTTGGCATGTAGACAAAGCTCCACCAGGCCCAGGGTGCCTCAGGATGCACCTCACATACTCTATACACTCAGCCTGTGGCCTTCTTAATGAAATATGGGCCTGAGAGGGACCAGTGCATTATCCAAGGCCACACAGCTGTTAAGTGTGAAGTCAAAACTTGAATCTTCCACCTAGGCCAAATATGAAATCCTGAGCCAGATGCTCCTCCTACCTGCTCCCATATCAGGACTCATGCAGGGCCTAGTTAACCCCCCAATATAAATGCTACTATATCTAAAAGTAACTCAGAATGACAAATCACCACCACCACGAAAAAAAGTTCCCATCTTGCTCTGTCCTGATTTTTGGATACCTAAGCAGACATATTTTCAAAGCTCTTTTCTGTTACCTTTCTCACCTCAAAGAATGAATTAACTGCAGTCCTATGCTGCTAACCTGGGGGCTGGGGAAGAGTGCCCAAAGTTCCCTGAACATGTGGGTAGGTGGCCCTCTAGGACAGTACACTCAACCAAAGATGGAGTCCCTGCTTCCTGGGACTTTTACCCATGGGATTGTCAGTCAGGTAACCAGTCTCCTGAG